AGGAAATTAACTGATGTAATAGGAAAAACAGCTGTGAACTTCGGAGAAGAGGTTTTGGAAAGAGATTATGCCTGTGGCACTTGAATAGCTCAAAACCAAAATTAGCTGATAATGTGAGGATAAAGGCAGGCAGTGGAAATGGGCTTTGGCAGAATTAGTAAAAACACAGGAAAAAATATCTTTTGTGCCTCTGATGTTTGGATGAGGGAAGGAAAAGCAAATAAAGAGAGGAACCTAAACTTCTAGTAGTTGCATTATAATGAACACAGTGTAGAAGAGAAACAGTATTTATTTATTACATACACTTGGTAATTTTAGTTGGGGGTGAAAAGAGGCTATAGAGTTGGAAGGGATCCTGTAATCACTTGGGTCCACCAAATATTCTGTGAAACATTAGAAGAGGACTTATTTATGCAGGCTTTAAGGGCTCAGGTTTGTATACCAATTCTGGAAACAATTTTTGAAAAACTGGTGACCTGAGTTTTGACTGGCACATGAATTTCCTTGCATAGATATTAGACGTTTAAGTTTGACGGAGTTGAAGCTACAGGAAATGATGCTGCTTTTTGGGTAACAATTGTACTAGTAGAATTTCATTCCGCTAAGAAACTTGTTTTGCATACTCTTTATGGGTGCCTCACAGAAATAGCCCAACAATAATGGCAGTTCATGTGATAGCTGCTTCCCTCCCACCCCCAGTTTATTAAACAAACAATCCATTTCCTTAACTTTCTTAGTCTCCATAGTTAAAGTAAGAAAACTAGAATACATGGACCTAAATAAAAGTATGTAGTTTTTAAATAGATCCTTAAAGCCTATTATTTTTAGGGGTCTGACTCTGAACTTAGAATGTTCAGCAGCACTATAATAAATTGCAGGAAGACAAAAGACTGTATTCTTAAGAAGGATCTTCTTTTCCTGAGAAGACAATAGTAAAATTATCCATAAATCACTAATTTAGTCATTAGAACTCTTGTTTGGTAAAATAATTGTCAGTTGTCCAAACAGTGGTTTGTACAGAAAAAGTAAATGTGATACAAAACTGGCAGTTCGTAGTAATGAAGATACTACCTACCGTCTTACAGAAGAAAGGCTCTAAAGTTTAAAAAAGCTGTACCTGAGAACCAGTTGGCAGATTTTTTTTTTCCTTTTTTTTTCCCCCCCCCTGAGGTGGAATACCTTTACTGCTGAGCAATATGTACAACACATTAAGATATAAAAAGTGTTTTATTTCTGGTGGACAGAGGTGAAGGAAACAAGTAAAAAATAAATGCATATAGTTTTGTAAACGTGCTGTGGGATACTTGATGATGGATGGACAGCTGAGATCTTGGCTTTAGGCCATCTCTGAAACAGACTGTCCCTTGAAACTATGGTGTTGCGTTAACCTATCGCTTGTCCACCAACACTATCTTCCATTTGAGGTGGCTGCAACTGAAATTGTTCAAGTTCATTTTACAGTTTGATTGACTTTCAGGTAGTGTGGCGCAACTGTCTTAATGCTTTAGAAAATGATAAGGTTGGTAGTGCTGTTTGGTGGTTTTGATAAGTGCTCTACTTTCTCTCTTCATTTGGGAAAGTCCACTTTGAGACTTAACATGAAATTAATAGTGTTGAATACAGTAGAAACATTCAGATAAAGGTCATTCTACATCATTGTAAGCTTTTAAAATATTGCAAAGGGACTTTGGTTCTTACAGTAGTATGTATTTCAGAATCTTGGAGACTGATGAACTTCACCTTTTTGCATAATAATGATACAGTACACAGGAATACTTAAAGCGTTGCACATGCTGCCTTCCAAATGTGCTTCAGCTTCTGACTTGCAAATGTCATGTATAAAGAACATAATTTTCAAGCTGCAAAAATCTTGACTGAGTCTACAGAGACTACAAAACTGGGTGTCAACTACAGCGATCCCTCCCATAATTTGGATGCTTCTTGGGTGACCAGGCGTGCATGAGTTAGTGGTGTTCAGTTTGTGAACTCAGTGTCTTCATGGGGATACTTCCTCAGTGTCTTCAAAAGTTAACGAAGAAAAAGGGCCTATTGTCAATAAGCTCAATTTTCAAAAGATTACAAGCCCATGGACTGAAAAAGGTTCAAAAGTCATTTCATGTACTGTTGTCCAGCTAAAAGCCCTTTCCATGTTTGAAAAACCTTAGTGTAGTTGAGGTTGTCAGGAATCTTGGTGGCTGCTGGGGTTGACTGTTTTGTATAGATGCACCTTAATTATAACTTTGGGGAAAAAAGGCAAAATACTTTGCTAATGATTTTAGCTATACTTGTAATCCAGAGAAGACAGAGAAGTTTAAATTTCCTTTTAAAAGCCTATCAGCATCTCTGTTAGTCCTTGGGTATTTTTATTTGGCCACGGGTGACCCTCCTGAAATTAACAAGCACTGTTTTGTAAATTCCAGGATTTATTACTCTGCAAATCTTGTCCTTAGATAAAAGAGGATTGGCTTAATATCTTGTTTGCTTCATCCCTTTCAAGTCTGAACATTATAACCAAGAAATCTGTCCAAAATGAGATAAATCTGTAAATATTTTATAAATGTGGTTGAGATGTACTCCTAGGAGTACAGTTTTGAAATAAAAGAAAACCTTTTGTGACTGCAATTTGATGCCAGTGCTGTCAGTGTGAGTGAAGAAGGAATCGCCTCATTTCCTATGATGTAGACAGCAGTGGCAAGAGAGAAAAAGTGGCAACACTGTTACACCTGTGACTCAAATTTCCAAATACAACTTGAAATGCACTTGCTAACTGCAATTGTTAGAACAATGAAAGAGTTGAATTGTCTCTTCAGTTTCTAATAAGTTCTTCTCCCACCTCTTACAATTTAGAATTTAGGTTACTGATGACCCATCTTTATAGAGACAACCATTATTTTTCTCTTCTGCTTTTTTTTTTTCTTTTTTAACCACTGTTGGTATGGCATCTGTAGGAGGCACAAGTGCCCTGATTTCAACATAATTACGACTCTGTATGTGTGAAAACTTTCTGCAACCAGTCTTGCGCTGGGATAGCTCCGGACTCTTGTTGTGTCACTGGGGCACAGTTGGGTGATCTCCAAAATAAAACTGTTGATCGTGTTGTATTTGGGTCATGGAATGAATTCTCTTCCAAGTGGATATACTGATATGCCTAGAGCTGTTGCCTTAGACTAGCGCAAGAACCCTTACTCCTAGCGTTGTTTAAAACATATACTCTGTGGGATGTTAGCATGCTAACTGCCTGCGTTACTGTTGTAGAAGTCTGGTCACTTCTGCACTCCTTTCCCATTTAGCATTCTTATGTGAAATCTGAAACAAAAAAAGAACAAGAATCTAAATCTAGCAGTGGTATTGTGCTGAGTCACTTAGTTTGGGGTGGAAATTAAATTTTGCTGTTCCTATCTCTTTAATGGCTTCCCCTTTCAATCTTTTAAAAATAAAAAACTGGACTGGGACTAAAAGTCCACAGTCAGTTCTAGAGTGTCAGTTCAGAAAACTTCATTTATGTTCCTTCCCCCATTTTTAGTTTGAAAGACTAAAACAAGTGCAATTTGTGGCATGAAGTGTGATACGCTTATTTTCAGGGAACTTTGAGTTTTGTTATCTAGTCTGGGTTAAGCATACTGTGTGCTATTTAACTGCTGACTTTGTTGCTAGGAGAGAATAGCAACTGCTTTACATTTCACTGGTTTCATGTAATGGAGTGCGACATCAACAGAA